TTAAAAAAGAAATAAACTAAAAAAACAAAAAGGTCAACAACAAAAACAAAAAATTGTTACTACGTATGCTAGTCCAGGTTGACTGGAGAAATAAATTCATAGACACTCATGTGTATAAGAAAGAGCTTTATAAACAAGAGCAATTGAATATTGAAAAATGTCCAATATTAGCCCATATGTATGATACCAATCTATAAATTCCTCTTCAGACTCACGAAACACATGCAGGAAGATCATAGGCCAGTGGGTGGAAAGTCATGTGGATCCAGTGGCAGTAGAAGCATCTCAGTGCTGGCGTGGGTCTCTACATGGCTCCTCAAGTTCTAGGTTCTGTCTGTATCAGTGTAGTTCCATCAGGGTCATTGTCAACAATGTCTCACAGAGTGAGCCTGTGTCCCATCACCAGCGAGCTATTTATCTCCTTAGTGCCTCCAATTGAGGTCATCAAGCTGAAACCTGATTGGCAGGCTAAACTCCACCCTTCTCTCTTGAACGGTCTCAAATTGACAACAGACTATGTAACCACCACACTGTGTTTGAGCCCACTGTTGCAGCTATCATATCAATGTGTTTTGTTGAGTGTTTTTCTCTTTTTTGATATTATTCTTCAGGGACTGGTCTCTCCTGATAACATATCCAAAGTACAATGCACAAAGTCTCACCATCCTCACTTGTAAAGAGCATTCTGGGTGTACTTCTTACAAATGACACATGTTTTTGTTCTTCTAGCAGTCCACAATACTTTCAATATTTTTTTTACCAGCACCACAATTCAAATGCATCACATATTGTCCAACTTTCACAGGCATATGAAACAATTAAAAATACCTTGTCTTGGGTCGGGTGCACTTAGATTTCAAAGTGACACATTAGACACTCAAAAAAATATTGCTGAATGAAAAATCAGAAACCCATGGTCACCAAGTCAATTCTAGCTCATAGCCACCCTTTAAGGCACTCTGGCCGTCAGCCTGTGTGGTCCTGAGGTGTCCATGGGATCAGGTAGCAGGAATCAGAAAACCCAAAACAATC